CGTCTGTTTTTTCCACTTGATTGTTGAGCACAGCAACCACGCCCTCACAGGTAGCTAGTTTTTTGTTGACAACCGTCATAGAGTTGTTCAATGCTCGTGTTGACTGTTCGTGTTTATCTGCAAGATGTTTGTTTTCTCCAGTTATTATTCCATTACGGTTTTCATTTTGTGCGGCTGAAACCATTTCAGTCATCTTATGGTGCAGTGTTTCCTCATTCTTTTCCAGTTGTTTTATTTGATTTTCATGTTCGTTAATTCTTGTTCTCACGTTTTCAACTTCATCAATTTTATTTCGTGTACTCCGTACCATTGCCATAAGAGATATTATGAACTGTAACATCATCAATAAATGCTCACCCATAGATCTGGTATTATGCTCCGCCATCTTGGATTTCTCCACCTTCAATGAAAACCAATTTTTACGTTAAATGACTTGGGGCTCTTAATAATTCCCATATTGTTTATATATTATTCAAACAGTCATACAAATACTACTATCTTAGACATATAAATATATTCCCAGACATTCCCGTCACTATACTCACCATATCATGACATCCAACGTTCTGAAATTGGCATGCTATCATCTTTCTAACACAGTCACCTGTTTTCGTATCTGTATGTTGCTCAATCTAGAATAATTTAAGAAAACCTTCACATTAATTTCTGTATAAACATATATTATTTATAATAGTTGCAACTTTGATATCACACGCCGCTAAACATTCACAAGGAATCATATCCGTGAATGCCGAATCTGTGTTTATTTGTAATAATTGTTATGTATTACTCACCATTTCTCGTGGTACAAACTCTCCACATAATTTGCATTTCTCCGGAATTTTGGGACATTCGAGTAGATGAGTCTGTAAGACCGAAAAGTGAGTACATTAAAAAATATAACATAGATACCTATCGTTTTTGTATATGCGGTCTTTATTTGTAATATAAGCCCAGTGGTCTAAAATACATAAATAATAAAAAAATACAAATCTAAAGTTGGTCAATTACTATTTACACTATTTACATCGCATCTTAGTCTTAAAGAATTAAATAAAAAAGCTGACAAACTTTTGAGTAGAGTGGCATTTACAGAGGTTATTAATTGGACAAATGTTTGTACTGATGGAGAAAGAAAGTAATAATGTGGTAAATACTTAAATCTGAAGGTCAGACAAGAACAAAGTGGTATTCGTCTTCAATTTGAATCACACAAGATGCAAAGCCATTAATGTCTTTCAATATTATTTTTCTGTCAGTGTCAATACGTAAATGGTGACAGGAACAGCGTAAACGTGACAACATTAGTCCGTGAGAATGGATATTGACAAGTGACATATCTTTTGGGTTCTAGTCTGGTTTTGAAACTACGATACGTGACCAAGTGATGAGATTTAGTAATACCATTCAGAAAACATTACTTAAAACGTCCCAAGCACCATGTAATTGACATAAGTATAACAATTATTTTACCTCGTTAACCCAGGTATGTTTTAAACGTATAGCCGAAAGTTCAATATTATAAAGCATTTTGTAGCATTTATTTGGGAAACGATGACTTATGATGGCATATAAATCACTTTGGCTCAATATTTAATACAATTCGTTGCGGTTAACAAATAAATTGGGTAACGCCCACGTGCACATTCCCCCAAGACAGTGACATTTGGTTCATATTTGGTTACGCCCAGATACATTTATATGCAAATGTTTGAGCACGTTCTAAATATTCATAACGTTGTTATCCCCATATTTCAGAGGCGTACGTTAAAATCGGGATACCATTGAATCAAACATTTTGGAAAATTCGTCAATGGGAAGTTGACCAATATTGCCAATTTTAGTTGAAACACTCAATCGAGACTTTCTACCTTGCTGAGCAAGAAACTTTAGTGGCGTACGACCACTTATAACTTAAGCCCAAATATTAATAACAAGAAACAACCCCAAACTTCTCATTGTTGGCAACACGCCCACCACACTTAAAGACAATAATTTTTGTTTATTGCATATTAACAGATATTTTCCATTGTTTACAATAAGAACTTAAACCATTTAACGATCTTTGTAAACCTATAACACTATTTGAAAAAAGAACAACATCATCGGCAAATAATAAACATAACAGATCAGTCAGTGCAAGTTGAATACCCCTTTCATGTAATTTACGTGGTAGTTTAGTTATGAAGAAAGAAAATAGAAAAGGGCTCAGCCTTTGGGACAGGTAAAATAATCTGTGTTGCCAGCTTATGATTTCACACATGATTTAACATCACTATATATACTATTTAGCATTTTAAACATTTCGCCAGTGGACACCCCCTTTTAACAAGATATACCAAAGCCTTTGGCGTTCTACAGTATCAAAGGCTTTGGAGAAATCAATAAAAGCACAGTGAAATTTACCCTTTTTCATAGTAAGATATTTCTGAATCAATGACTGTAGTATGAAAATATTATCAAAAGTGGAGTAGCCCTTTCTAAAACCAGCTTGCACTTCGTCAATTTTGTTCAGTACTTCTGCCCAATAAACAAGACGACTATTTAAATAGGGAATTATTTGAACACGTGTTGATTTAAAATATTCACCAACAATGTCATCTGGTGCAGATGATTTGGCTGGTTTTACCTATCTGTATGTGAGACGTAGTGAAATATATTCAGATATCTATGGATGGTCTGGTGAATTGCTTTTATCACCCGAATAATAACCACGGTAATACCAGCTTAGTTATTTCAATACTCACCTCTATATTGGTAAATGGAACTTCTACTGTGCAGTATTCACACTTCACTATTCTCATTGGACAATCCTTCTCCAGATGAGATGATAGATTTCCACGTTGAATTGATACATTACATCCATTTCTATTGACACATTGTATCATTTCATATTCACAAGTCAGAATATGATTCTGTAAATGATGATAAATTTATAAGTTTCACACAAAAAAAAAACGAATTGCAATATCACGATCTAAGCGCCTTTCTGTTAAACGTCGACTTACCACTCGGTAATCTTCAAAGCTCCCCGTCCAATCACAGCCTTTGTTTAAGCACCGTACATGCTGTATGTTCAACTCTCGTTGTATGGCTTTATCGTGGTACATCTGTTGAAACGAATACACATCGGTTCTGTTATCATGATAACATTGGATTATTTTTGTGTATAGTCTAACATAACATGATTACAACAGCAAATTGTTACGTATACAATATCCATATGGCATACCGTGGATGTATTCGGCGATTTAATCACTGTATCATTGAGGGAAGTTGAAAGTCAACATTTTGGATAAAAATTATACCTACCTGCTGCACACTCAATATGGTATCCATAATGCCTTCAGCTTTACACGAACTGCAAAGTACATTATCATTGTTTCTGAAACAGAAAGGGGAAATATCACGAATCTAATAAGTCAGTGTATTTCCTTGTTTCTCCTACTTGGGGAACGATGAGGAAATACACATCATCATATACCTTGTATTGCGCGGCCTCGTAACGTTATGGAAAATGCGCCATCACATCAGGGCAATAATTCTTCGTATCACGCCGGCCAAGCGCGCTCGGTTTTCAACAAACAAAACAATGACACGAACAGGCACGACTAGTTCACGCCGAGTTTGTGACGAGTTCACGAATAGTTCACGAATGCGTGCCCATCAGTGTCCACATTGACACGAACTGGCACGACGAGTTCACGCATAGTTTGCGCATAGTTTACGCACTTCTCGCATTGGCACAACGTGTTTGCGCAATTCGGACGTGAGCTGTTGGTGAACTATTCGTGGCAGTTCGTGACAGTCGTGGCATGGCGCGCACTGGCACGTATCCTCGTGACCAAAATTTTTAACATTTTAAAATTCTCGTCCCGACATGGCACGAAGGCACGACGGGTTTACGCACACTTCACGCCAGTTTACGACCAGTTTGCGCACTGGTACGACTCGAGTCGTGTCAATGCGTGCTACAGAATCGTGCAAGTGTCAGGGTGGCTTTAGTGGACCTCAACGTGTTGTATTATAATTATAGTTACTTCCTCAACTTATTACTCTGTACCACGACACCAGTCTCCTTACCTTAACAGGTCTTCAAAACATGTTTCACAGTATCTATGTCCACAATATGTCTGGATTGGATCACACAGTACTTTCTCACATAGTTGACACAAGTATTTATCTTCTACCAGTGACTGGATGAATATATCTTTTGAAAAACCGACCATGTCCTGAGGCAACGGTACGTCGTTAAAGTCAACGCTAAATAAAGTGAACAAGGATACAGTCGTAACTATCTGCCGGAAATGCAATCCTTACAATCATCTATTTTCAGAACGGAAAATTGCTTCCTCATAGATTTGCTATTTATATAAAGAATATCCTACGCATCACCATACTAAATGTATCAAGGCTCACCCTTCCTTCCCTCGTTGGTGTACCCATAAATTTATTTACGGTTCCAGGGATCTATTTGTAACATAATTAACTACACTGAATTTTATGGGAGTTTTTTAAGGGAATTGATGAAAGCTTGTATAAAACGCCGTGTTACATTCAAATCAACATGACATGTGTAATGCCCATTTATGATTCGCATATGTTTTTTATGTATACAAACGTTCCCTTATTCCTATATTTTGGAAATAGGTAATACTCTGCTTGGGTCTTAAGAACAGTCGGTAAAAGAATGAATTGACAATGAACCAATACAGGAAAGCCACAGAAAAGCATAATAACTTCCTCGCAACTTTTAAACACTGTAAACCTGGATGAGTTGTCAAAGACACAGAAAAGCCGATATCAACATAAACTACAAATTTTAACTGGAAATAATGTCATACTCGAATTGTAAAAAAAGTTTTAATAATTTTAATCTGATAAGTGTTTGCAAAATATTCGATGCTATGCGCCCGAAAACCTTTGTGTAGTGTTTGCTATGAATAGTGCTTTCATCTATATTCAAATGTAAATTATTTCCCCTATCACACCCGGCCACCCCTCCAAAACAAAATGCGTCATTCTAAATTGCAATTGAGGTCATGCCGTGGTAAAATTGTAATTACACCTATAAGGTATAAGATAAAACTTTTGCTGCCCTCGGCCATACGGCTTATGCGCCATCGCATGCTCGGCACTCCCGCCACACGCCCCTGGCCGTAGCCACTCCATAAAGATTAATACGTACGCTTTTTACCTTTGTGGTTGTTAGTTTGTGATACTGTGAATATAAGAATTATTACCTTTATAATGAATGATATTGCGGTAGTCGCACAAATGAATATCAACGAAAAAAGTCCGTACACTATATTCTATCAGCTTTCAGGCGTTGGAGTAATTAATTCTTTTTATCTTGGCTTTTATAAGTCCAGACTTCAGTCTTACCTGTTGATCATGTCTGACTTGCATATACTTATATATGGTTGGAGTCATTGCGTCATTTCTAAATATAGTTCATTCTGGAATATTCCACGACTCTGAGTGGGGGTAAATTTCCACGTAATTTCTATGTTCTAGAACATTACCTGCAAGTCACGATGAGGGTGGACAACATTAATAAAACTATTTATTTATTTATATAAATTCATATAGGTTTGAATGGCCAACTCAAATATAGGGACAACCTCCGTCCCACCTAAACCCATTGCACCCACCACAGATAAACAACAGTAAACAGGCAACAAGACACAGACACGTTTGAACGGGTCTCTGTGACGTACATACCCATTGTTCACAGCGCACGCATAAACACATAGGGACGTCATAATGCAACCAGAGGAAGGAACGTACATTGTGACAACACTACTAAGACTGGCTCAATGTTAATTATATTTTAATCGCCATTTTAATTGTTTCGATATTGAACATTGATTGTAACCATATAGTAGCTCACATAGCTGGGCGTGTACTAGTCGGGTTGTATCTCGGTCTCGCCATGACTGTTTTGACTTCTTTATTCCTCAGCTCTTGCGAGCGAGGTTATTTGTAGTTATGTTGGCGATCGCCGCTGTGTCTGCGGAAGTACTATGGGAGATTGCATGATAGGACTGAAAAGTCTTTTGATCAGCAAAATAATTTTAGAGAGTGAAAACTAAAGTGACTGTGAAATAAAGGTTGCTTTTAAATATTAAATATCATGACATTATGATGTAATAATGAAAGGAAATTGAACTGGTATGAAAGGGCCGTACATGTATCCAGAACGCAAGGTCAGAATCCGGGGGTCAAAATACGTCACAAGGCGGTTGCAAAGTGTAAACAACTATGGATAAGGTAAAAGACTTCGTTTGCAGTTTGCGTGAATGGCCGGGGAGAAAAATTCATGCAGATTCTGTGCTTCAGTAACAGTATTTCCTTCTTTTGTTGTGCAATGGAAATTAATACAAGAAATGCTGCCAATAAACATGTCCTTCTAGTACACAAAACAACCCCGGGACGTTTATCTTGTAACAGATTGATTTTCCACTTGACTTAGTGTACGAGATATTGAAATATTGAATCAGATAACGGCAAATGACGGGGTTCTCTATGGGATACAACGCACCCGCAGCGGTACCAAAGTGACCTCTGTCATGTGATTATGAATCTTCTACATTAATTCACGTCATATCTTATTAGAAACAGAAAGTATGTTATTAGCGGAATGTCGAAACCATAACGGTGGAACCGGAACAGGAAAGGCACAACATATCCATTTCAAATAATGACAATTTTTTACTATAATATCGTTTGCTGTAAAATGTTCCTAACAATGTGTAAATCATAAAAATGATTTTTTTGTTTTTTTCTTATGGTTTTTGAACCCAAATATTTCGTTTGGTTTCTATTTTCAGCATCCTTGCAGGAAACTAATCAGACATGTATGTACCATGCACACATAAAAATAAATACTGATATGCTTCATTTTCGAGGCCGATTTTTAGTCAAAATTTACATATTTGCAATGTCACCTAAATTATTCAAATAGTTTTGGCTTTCAGGATTTTTGCGGGAAACAGAATATGAATATGTCACAGAACGCTATAACAAAACCAGTACAACAGATCACTCACCATCAGTCCTCGCTAGCTACTCCGCCATCTTAGCCCCGCCTGTGTGTTTTTATCCTGCCACAGAGGGCGCACCTCGTAAACCACTTATGGAAATTAATGTAAGAATAAATAATAAGAATTCATGACATCACTCCCCTTTCAAGAGGAAACTTATAAAGTTTCTGCACAGCACATGAATTCTATTACATAGTCCTTAAACTCCAGCTCCATGGTTATCTGAGCCGTTAATACATTCAACGGTAAATCGGTAGTTCTGCAGAAACATTGCCCATCGCATTACTTTGTCATTGATGAATTTAGCCTTGTCACATACAATAACGGCTGATGGTCTGTCTGGAGAATGAACTGGGTTCCATACAAATACACCATATACTTCTTTACAGACCACCGATTGCCAAGCATTCCTTTTCGATAGTCGAATAT